ACAAAAATTAGATGTTTTTCTAAAAATTGGTAGAAAAATGGCCGATTTTTCGGATCAAGTAGTGCCCTACCAAACATAGTGTTGAAAAATTGACATTGGAATAGAAAATATTAAAAAAATTGACTTTTTTTGAGTCACGAAACTTCAAAAAAAACTGACCGAAATTCGAAAATTTCAAAAAAATTTAAGTCTAAATTTACTACCAATACTTGTTTTTTTGACCAAGTTGGCCTTAGTTTAAAAAAATGATAGACTTGAAAAAAATATCGACTTTTTCATTAGAAATCAAGAGAGAACAATTATAAAAAAATTCAAAATTGTTTCGAAAATCAGCTCATTTTTTTCGGGATCAAGTGCGCTCTACCGAGAAAAGTGATAGAGAATTGGATTTCGATGCGGAAATGTTGCAAAATCGACATTCTGCGCCGAATGTATAATAATAATCGGTAATTACATTCAAAAATGTAGAAATTTCGAACAGAAAAATCGCTTTTTTGAAAAGAAATGTTGAAAATTCGACATTTTTGGGCTGAAAATTTACCGAAAAAGCCATGATTTTTTTTTACATTCCAAAACTTCATTTTTAAAAAGAAATTTCAAGAAAAGAAACTTGCAACTAACTGAAAAAAAAGACTTCAAAATTCACAAGAGGAAAATGAATTCGAAATTCGGAAAAATGCTCAAATTCCAATGTTTTTTCTCTCAAGAAACTCAAATATTTGCGTTTTACTCGTTTTTTGGGTATCAATTTCATTGTTGTAAATTCTCCAGGGTGGAAATTTCGATTTTTGCAGAAAGGGGGCTGAAAAAGGTGTTTGGAGTGTGCTCCAAGGATAAAATATGGGAAAATCTCAATTTTCTAATGTTCTTTGTAGATAAATTCATCTTTTTTTGATCAAAATCTAAAAAAATTTTTATTTGAAAACGCTGGGAATTCGAGAAAAAAACAAGTAAATTTTTTTTCCCTTGTTTTTTTTCAATGCATTCAATCCGAAAATTCTACTTTTTTTCAGCAAAAAAATTATTATAAATATTTTTTTAGTGAAACAAAGGTCAGATTTCACAATTAAATCCAGCTTTTTTTCAAGAAAAAAATGAAATCATGATAGAATTGATACATAAGTGCAATTTTCCGTCATTTATCAATCAAATCATCAAATCATTTATTTTGTTGGTTTTAGTCATAGATGTGATCGACTAGGCGGTGAACAAGAACTTTGAAAGCTATAACGAACAACCGCCTTTGGCGAACTAGAAGTCCAAACGTGTAGTCGAAAGAGTGGAAAGCATGGTCTTACGGTCCTTCGTCTCGTCCTTCTGCGCGTAGTCCATCCAGTTGCGCCTTGACGAGCTCAGAAGGTAGCGGATGTTGTGCTGGAGCCCGGAGACCGTGCTCTAGGTGGAAGCCTCAGAATGAGAGCGACCACTTCGAGTGAAGATTTTACACGGAATTAGAACAAATTTAGAACAAAAAAAATTCAAAAAAACTCAATAACTCAAACCTTTTCTGACCATAAAACTACAAAAATCTCGAATTTTCCCTTTTTTTTGTCGAAAAACCACAAGAAGCTCAAAAAGTGTATATAGGTTGCTCCACTGATAAAAAAAGTCCTCAAAAGATTCTATTCCCTTTATTTTTCAATTATAAATAATTCAACTCCATGAATTTCCTGCTGTTTATTTTCTGTACAAGTCTGGGAAAAAATTATTAATTTGGCTTAAAAATTCCGACCTTTGCACCCAAAAAGTATCCAATTTCCCTTATTTTCAATTCTGAAAACTACAGTTTTCCCTTTTGCAACCTGAAACTTTTCTCACGATTATGAATTCCTACGTTTTTGAACCGGAAGTGTGAATTTTGAAGCAGGTACAAGGGAACTTCCAGAAAAAGTTCTTTTTTTCATTATTTCTGAGGAAAGATGTTGAAATTTTTAATTTACAAACTCGGGTAAAGTCAGGAAATGGTGGATAATGAACTCTAAAAAAGAAAGGCTCGAAAAAGGCCGGAGAAAGGCTGCAAAAAAAGCTGCAAAAAGGCCGCAGAAAGGACGCAAAAAAACAGCAAAAAGGCTGCAAAAAGGCTGCAGAAAGGGCTCAAAAAGGTCGCAAAAAGGCTGCAAAAAGGGCGCAGAAAGGTCGCAAAAAGGCCGCAGAAAAAAACTGCAAAAAGGCCGCAAAGAAAGGCTGTAAAAAGGCCGCAGAAAAACTGCAAAAAGGCCGCAAAAGGGCTGCAAAAAAGGCGCAAAAAGGCCGCAGAAAGGCAGCAAAAAAGGCCGCAGAAAGGCAGCAAAAAGGAACATTTCTATAGAGCCTATTCCTATCTTGCCTTTGGATATGCTATGAAATTTGGACGATCGATAAAAATTCAAAAAGAGCTTTTTTTGATTCCTTTATCAATTCTATGTAGGACTTTCTGAAAAAATGATCAATTCCTGGAAAAATACCAAGAAAGAGGATATCTACTTGTATCACAACACATTGAGCCATTCCAAATGCGGCTATATAACTTTTTTCAATTTAATATTTTCTCAAATGATTTATTTTCCAAATGGTGAAGAACAGCAGTGAAGAGAATATTATTTCATCATAATATCTTTTTTCGAAAACGTAACTTGAAATGGTTTGGTCATGTTCATTTTTCGTTTTGAACTTGATTAAAATTGTTCAAAATTGATTGAAAAAGTCGATTAGGTGCAGTTTTTTTCAGGCTGATCCAGAATCTTTGCTCAAAAAAAGGACACAAAAATGTGTGAAAAAAGCTAAAAGCAGTCAAATTTATAAAGTTCTGAGCCAAAAATAAGGCCAGATACACAAAATTTCATTCAAAAGGACCCGCAATTCTTCGATTTTTCATTTCTTTCTATTTTTCAGAAGTATGAAAAAAATAGTCTAGAAACCCTGATTTTTCAAAAAAAATGAAAGCTAAATTTCAACTTTTTTTCCGAAAAAAAAAACACCCCGTTCTACCTAAAATTCAAATTGAGACCTATATTTTTCACTACGAGGACTTTTAAATCCAAAAAAGCCTCGAAGTAAAAATTTGAAAAAGAGACTGTTAAATCCGGACGTTTTTAAAGTGCGGTCGGTAGATTTTTCTCTCATTCTAGTATAAAATTGGGCTGAAAATCCTCTTTTTAGTCCCATTTTTTTTTGATGAATGGAACAAAGCTTTGAAGTCGAGCATTTATTGGAAATACTAAAACAACTGGACGTTTTTAAAGTGCGGTCGGTAGATTTTTCTTTCGTTTTTTAACTAAAAATTGAACTAAAAAACCTGTTTTAATCCCATATTCTTTTGATAAATGGAACAAGGCTTATTCAGAGGAAATACTAAAAGAATCTGGACGTTTTTAAAGTGCGATCGGTATATTTTTCTTCCATTTCATCCAGAAATTGGACGGAAGACCCCTATTTTCATTTCTATAACCTCTTTGTAAATCAAACGAGACCTTTAAGCCAACGAATTTATTGAAATATTGAGAAAATTGGACGTTTTTTTAAAGTGCGGTCAGAAGATTTTTCTCTCGTTTTAACTAAAAAAAGGGCTAAAAAAACCCTGTTTTTTTGATTCTACTTTACTTGGTCAAAAAAATAAGAAGCCTAAGAGTTGGACTGAAAAAAATCCGGACGTTTTTAAAGTACGGTCAGAAATTTTTTTATTTCTTCTATCTGAAAAATCGAACTGGAGACTTCTAATTATTATAAAAAGTCATTTTCACTGAAATTTTTTTCCTTCTTTTCCCTTTTTGAAAATCAGAAAAACCGACCTGGATCCATATTTTTCTCCGAGTGTACCGACTTCCGACGGGTTCACGCGCCCATTGCACTAATTTGCCAAACAGATGTCGTGTTGGGGGGAGAGTCGTAAAAAAGGACCGTTAAAAAAGGGCGGATGTCAATTCCAGTGCACCTGAAAGCCGTCCGGGAAGGGGGGTGAGAAAATAAAATTCGCGCTTTTTTTCGAATTTGAGGGGTTTTTTAAAGTTTTGGAGATGGAAACGGTTCTTATAAACATTATTAATCTCTTTTTTTATAGATTTTTTTGAAAAAAATGAAATAAAAAAATTATCTATCTAGAAATTATAAAAAAAGCTCTTTTAAAAATATTTAAAAAAATTCATTTTGATAAAAAAAACTTGAGAAAAAAATGCATAAAATTAACTGAAAAATGACATTTTTTTACAAGCAAAAACGACTGGATTCTAAAATTTAGTACTCATTTTGAGCAAAAAAATTGATGAAACCTCGAAAAACCCCTAAATTTCGATAGAGTAATTTTTGAGAAAAATTTTTCAGTAAAAAAAATAGAAATTCAGGTCACTTTCAATAGTTTTATAGCTCCATTAGAATCTTTTAAAAAAATGGTAATTTTTAAATAGAACTTGAAAAAAAGACCAGAATGATCGAAAAAAATTGAACTTTTCAAGAACCCAAAATGAAATTGAGACATTTTCTAAGGTCTCTTTCAAATTTTATATGGTTTGCGGGTAACCGAGCGATTTATTCACCTCATTATTCAATGAAACAAATGAAAAAAATTTCATCAATTACCTTTTATTTTTTTCAGCTTCCCGGTCAAAATTCCTGAATAGAAATTGAAAAAAAGACCAAAATGCAATTTTTTTGAAACTACCTTTCTGGAAATTTTTATTTTTTTAAACAAAAATTCAGTTATTTATCGAAAAAAATCATCCAAAAAAACGATTTTTTTCAGAACTTTCGACTTGGAAATCTAACCTCTCACAACAAAAATTTAATTCTTCATCCCAATAAAGGAATAAAAAAATTCAACAAACCTTTATCCAACATGAACAAAAAAAGATGAAAATGAAGCCTGTTTTTCTGAAAAAAACCTGTCATTCACATTTCACGTCAGAGACATTCGGAAAGATTCTCGCAAACCTTTGAAAAAAGAAACAAGAGAAAACACATATTTATATGAAAAAAACACGGAAAACTCAACAAAAAGTACACAAGGAAAAAAGGTAATTTTTTGATTTTTAGGCGATTTCGCCGAGGAAGATTCGTTTGTCGCTGCCGGCAGAGAGCACTGAAGATGAAGGGTATTGAAATAGTTTTTTTTAATCAAAAATTCTCATCTTCAGATAATTTTTTTACAATACTTTTTGATGTACCTTTAGATCCTTCTAACTCTAAATTGTTTATCATAGTTTTTTTAAAATGTTTTTTTCAAACACTAAAAATGACTCCTTTTTTTCAGACAAACTCCCATTTTGTTTCTACATTTTTCCTATCTATTCTTCCAATTTCGTTCAAAATATCCAACTGTTATGTACATATTTTTTCGAAAAATGGCTTAACATTTCGTCAATTTTTTCAATGTATCATTAGATTCGCCATGCCCTAACTAACTTTTTTTTCTTAGAATTTATTCCCTCTTTTTCAAACCCTCAAAATATCAATTTTCCAGATAGAAGGATCTAAAGGTACATCAAAAGAACAACGATTCGAAAATGCCCATTGCATCTCTTTTCCAAACTCTCAAATAGATAAATAAACTCTAAAAGATATATCTATTTATTTTACTCTTTTTCATGGGTTTTTTTTCAAAAAAATATCATTTTTTAACCATTTTTCAATTTTATCAATTCATTTATAGATTATCTTCATTTTGTTCATTTTTTCCCCGGATTTATTGACTTTTTAATATTTTGCAACCCTTAAAATGACTATTTTACAGGTGAAATCTTCCGATTTCGCTCAAAATATATCATTTTTAGGTGTTTCTTTTTGAAAGAATCTCGTTTTCAAACCATTTTTCAATGTTTTCAATGTCCCATCAGATTTTCCAGGCCCTAATTAACATTTTTCTTTTAAATTATTGATTTTTCAATCCTTCTCCAACCCTCGAAATGATGGACTCCCATTTCTATTCCTTTTCAAACTCACAAATGGGCTCAGTCGGATGGAAGTCCACAGCGTTGACCGATCCATGATGACCGGGCAATTTGTAGAGAATCCTGCGGGATGCCGTTTCCCAGGCGTAGACGTAACGGTCAGAAGAGCCGGAGGCGATGCGGGTTCCGTCGGGCGACCAGGCGCATTTCAGGAGATTCTTGGGAGGTAATCAGTTCATTAACTATGGAATTATTGTCAAAAATCCCTTTTTGAAGCCTTTCAAAACCAATAGTAGCAATTTTTGAAGATTTTCCAAGAGATTCTGACTATTTTTTCACGCTCAAAATTCTTCCTAGAGTTTTTGAAGGCGCAGAAATTTTTCAAAGCCTAACTGGACCCTTAAAAAAGGTTCCTGGCTTTGAGAGAACCCTAAAAAATAATACATGCTCCTTTAATAATTGTGAACAGGGCTTGTCAACGAACATTTTTCGGAAAAATAACCAAAAAATGCAATTTTCGCCATAAATTCCGTTCAAAAAAACGAGTAAAAAAGTATTTCAAAATCTCTATTACCTTATTTTAACTATTTGACCTAAAATTACTTTAAAATTACTCTTTGAAATTTACTAAAACACCTAAAAGATCACCTTCGTCACGAGACCTTTATGAAATTTGTCCATGCGCCTTTAAGGTTTTTCTAGCTGATTTTTTTTTTGGAAAACGATTGAATTTTGGAACCTTCCGCGATAAATTTTTTTCAGAAGCCTTTCCAAAATCATCATATGAACCGGAGTCTTTCGAAAACTAAACGAAGACCTCAAAACGGCTCTTCACTTCGAGACCCTATTGAAACTTGCCCATGCGCCTTTAAAGGCTTCAGATGGGAGTAAATCAAAATTTTCGGAAACAAAAAATCAAATGCTGAATTTTTTCTCTTCAAAATTTGTTCAAAAGCGTTCCTCGAGCTTTTTAAATGAGCCGAAGACTTTGAAAACCATAAAGGACACCTTCGTTTCGAGAATTTTATGTAATTTGTACATGCGCCTTTAAGAACTTTCTAGCAGAGCATATGAAATGTTTTCGAAATAAAATGTTAAGAATTTTCAATAAAACTTGTGCAAAAGCATATAATAATTTTAACCGGAAACTTTCAAAACTCAAAATGACACCTTAAAACGGCTCTTCGTCTCGAGACCTTTATGAAGTTTGTCCATGCGCCTTTAATATTTTCCGAGCTCAAAAACACTTTCAAACCTTCTCAAAATTGTGTTGATGGCCGAAAAACGAATTGACCAGCCTTGAAGGAGAAGGCGTGAATGGTCTGACGTCCCATTGTTTCACTAAAAAAAAGATTGTTGTGATCAATTTTCAAAAGTTACTGATCCCTAAGCACATAAACTCGAAAAAGACACAAAAAAAAATAAGAGAAAAAAAAATCAAAACTTAGAAAAAACCTAAAAATACCAACAAAGAGGATATTTACTTAAAACACAACGGGTTGAGCCATTCCAAATGCGACTCTCTGACTTTTTTCAAATAAATATTTTCTCAAATATAATTATTTTCCAAATGGTGAAGGACAGGCATAGCTCAGCTGGTAAGACTCATTTCTAACGTCCGCGAGGTCGTAGGTTCGAGTCCCCCCGAGGTCGACCAAGCCTCCAGGGTAGATAAAATTGGGAGCTGCATGCAGCGAAAAGGCTCAATCTCTGCCATCGGCCTTTGGAAAGCTGTACTTCTTCCTACGACCTCTCTTGCACCTGATGTTCTACGAGCGAAATTCACAACTTCTCTGCCTAAGCCACAGCTCCTGCCGCCGTTCAAACGCAGTCAAATCAATGAAAGTCGATTGCACATGTACTCTTACATTGAAATTGCAATAAACAGTTTTTTTTAACAGTTTTGAACAAACAGAAGAACAGTAGTGAAGAGAATATTCTTTCATTATTATATCTCTCGAAAACGTAACTTGAAATGGTTTGGCAATGTTCATTTTTCGTTTTGAACTTGATTAAAATTGTTCGAAATGCCTTGAAAAGTCGATTAGAGACAGTTTTTCGCGCTGATTCCGAATCTTTGCTCAAAAAAGGGCACAGAGTTCTAAGAAAGACGGTATAGACAACAAATGAAAAAAATTTGATCCAAGAATTAGAGCCAGATACACAAAATTCCATTTAAAAATACTCTTTCATATTTCATTTCATTTCATCTCTAAAAGTATGAAAAATAGTTCAGAGGAAAAACTTTAATATCTGGACGTTTTTAAAGTGCGGTCGGTATATTTTTCTCTCGTTCCACTGAAAAATCGGGCTAAAGACCTTGTTTTATTCTATTTTCTTGGTTTAAACAGAAAAAAGCCCGAAAGTTGAAAATTTTAACTGAAACCATGATAAAACTGGACGTTTTTAGAGTGCGTTCGGTAGATTTTTCTCTCGTTTTGACTCAAAAAATTGAACTGATGTGAAGAACCTATTTTTAATCCCATATTCTTTTGATAAATGGAACAAGGCTTATTCAGAGGAAATACTAGGCATGTTCTAAAACACGAGCGGTTGTGGGGCACGAGCGGCACGGCCGTTACTAAATCACGAGCGGTTTCGCTCCTTCGCGAACGCTTCTAAATCACGAGCGTTTTTGGCTTATCGTTCTGTTCGAGCGTTTCTAAACCGCGAGCGTTTCATTTTAATCATTTTCTTTATTACCATCCAAGTGTGTTTTTTTTTTCATATTTCTACCTTCTTTTTCTCCTTGAATAAAAATTTTGACGATCTTATATGCACATTTTTTCGCTCAATTTGTTGATTGATTCACATTTGAGGTTCATATAATGGATTTTTTCTAAGTTTTTTTGCGCTCGTGATTTAGAAGCGTTCGCGAAGGAGCGAAGATGAAACCGCTCGTGATTTAGTAACGGTCGTGCCGCTCGTGCCCCACAACCGCTCGTGTTTTAGAACATGCCGAAATACTAAAAGAATCTGGACGTTTTTAAAGTGCGATCGGTATATTTTTCTTCCATTTCATCCCAAAATTGGACTGAAGAACCCTGTTTTTGATTCTACTTTTAATGGTTGAATTAAAAAAAGGCCACGCACGAGCTAAAAACTTGAACTGAAATGGATTTTTGGAGTTGAAATATGACTGATTTTATTTTTCAAAGAGCTCATTGATCTTTTAGTTCTGTTGAAATCAGATTGTTAAGGCTTTTCTTGAAACCGAAAAAAAATAAATCATAAAATATTCTTTTGTAGCTCTCATCTTTTTATGGAAAAGGAAAATATGAGTTTTAATGTTTTCCATTTCTAAAATAAACAAAAAACACACTTTTTCAGGAAACCAGAATAAGACAATATTTGATTGGATCGCAACACATTGAGCCATTCCAAATGCGGCTATATAACTTTTTTTCAATTTAATATTTTTCTCAAATAGTTTTTCCGAACGACGATGGAGAAGTGAACGAAGAGAATATTATTTCATCATAATATCTTTTTTTCGAAAACGTAACTTGAAATGGTTTGGTCATGTTCATTTTTTCGTCTTAAACTGTGCAATGCAAGAAAAATTGCATTCAGAATAGCATTACGCGTTGAAAAAAACCGTTCCTTTAGCGCTAGAGGCTTATTTTTTCAAACATTTTTCTCGATCAGGTTGTTTCCTTGTTGTTGCTAGCCGAGGGCTCCGAGCGCGGCCATATACGCGCTGAGAAAATTTCGAAGAGCTTTTCCTCGGTTGCCTGAGGGGTTTAGCAAAATTTTATTTTTGAATCCGAGAACTCTTACCTAGGGCTATCAAACCTACATAGTCTCAATTCTCAACCCGATGTTCAGGGGAGACCATACCCTAGTCAGACGCTTTCTTTCGCATTTCTAACTAGACCGAATGTTGCTGAATCTTAAAGGCATAGGGGCAGTAAAAAATGGGATTTCAGGTGAAAGCAGTATCTTATATAGTTTTTCTTTGCGAATCGAATGGTGTACTCAAAAAAATTACAGATGTGACAACTTTAGAAGAAAAACGCAATTTCACTTTCGCGCCTTTAATTTTGAAAAAAGCTTTGGATCGGTATGCAGACAAATGTTTACAGTAGCCGTGCACGCGATGTTGCGGACGTCTCATTAGACTCGCATTTTGGGAGAAATAACCGGATATCTGCTTCGAATTTAGGGTTCTTTCTCTGAAAAAACGATTAAGAAAACAGGAAACACACACCGAAAATAAAGAAAACACAAATAATCGCAATCCCTATCGAAACCTGTGTAAATCATCATTTTTCACCAGAAACGCTTTTTTGCGATCAAAGTTTGCAAATCATACATGAATAGAAAGCTTTTGTGACGAAAAGAACTTTGGTGAGAACAGAAAAAATTGAAAATTGAAAGAAACGAAGAAAAAAGCGAATATCCGGAAGATGGCGAAGCCTGTTGTCCATAGAGCAGCTTTACTGCAAAGCGTCCTTTTTGCGGGAACTAAAGCTTTCCTTTCTCCGACTTTGAATTATTATTTCTCCAAAACTAAGAACTTCTGTACGTTCCATGTTCACCGTTCGATTCGCAATCAAAAGCTCTACAAAGTACTGCTTTGAACTGAAACACCGTTTTTTACTGCCCCTATGTCTTTGACTAATTCTGCGTTCCGCGTTCCGCATTCCGCATTCTCAATTTTTACTTCCGTGCATCTCTGCTAGGTAGTGATTTTTATCGTTGTTTTTCGAGAATTTTTGAGGCAGTTTGACTTTTCAAAACTTCTCATGAAAATCGTCTGAAATTTTTGGAGATAATATTTAAAAAAGCCGTCAAGGAATTTTTTTCTCGTGTTTCGGAAGCACATTTGAAGCTCATCTCGGAATTCTTGTCCTTTTTTCTTACGTGACTCAGAAATTCTAGGTACTAATGTTTAACATGCATTTTATTTATTAAACATGAAATTTTTGGAGTTTAAATATGACTTATTTGATTTTTTTCAAAGAGCTCATTGATCTTTTTAGTTCTGTTGAAATCAGATTGTTAAGCCTTTTTCTTGAGACTGAAAAAAAGTAAATCATAAATTCTTTTTGTAGATTTAATCTTTTTCATGATGATTCCGAAGGAAAAATATGAGTTTTAATGTTTTTTTCCCAATCTCTAAAAATAAACAAAAAAAACACTTTTTTTCAGGAAACCAGAATAAAAGACAATATCTACTTGAATCACAAAACATTGAGCCATTCCAAATGCGGATCTGTGGCACTTTTTTTTCAGTTTAATTTTCTCAAAAAGTTTCTTTTTTTCCGTATGAATTTTTTCAACAAGTTTCTTTCTTCCGTATGAAGTGAAAAGAATATTATTTCATTATGATATCTTCATTCTAAAACGTAACTTGAAATGGTTTGGTCATGATCATTTTTCGTCTTCAACTTCATTTACCACGCTGTCTCTGTAATTCTCAAAATCCGTGGTCACAAAAAAAGTTTATTTGATTTTGATGGAACTTCATCCAGTGTGATAACCCATCAACAGAAACGCGAACGCAACTTTTTGAGCCATTCCCTCTTACTGTAGCTACGGTGTGTGGGTGGCCACCTGCGTATCTAAGAATTGATGATTTTTTGGTGCAAGAGATATATCAATCGATAGGTAATCCAATTTCAGAAACTTTTACAGTACATACCATCTTGGGTTACTGTAGGAATTTTCGAGTAACGGTGACTTTTTTGTTCGGAAAGTTGGTTTTTTGGTCACCCTGAGCACAAATGCCATTTGCCGTGAGAGTTACTTCTCTCAAATATGTATTTTTTCATTACCTACAATTTGAGACCATTCTATGTGGAATTTTCGAAGACCATAATGTCGCGAAACTTGGCCTCTCGCCCCAAGGTCTTGGGAAGTGGTCAATATTATTTCTTCCTTGTCAAACTTTTTGTTGAAAAGTTATAAGCTTAGAGCCTAATTGCCTGTGTTATTGTTTGAAGCCACTTACAGGCAATTTAGACGACTAATTAGTCTGAAATTTCGTTTTGAAGGCAAATTTGGCCCGAAAACGTAAGATTTCCAGGTTCAATGCCTTTTCTGGAAGTTTTTTCCACGAGAATTCTTCGTCTTCGGTCTTTTATTTTGAACCTACATCAATCAAGCCGATGTCAAAATCAAAAAAATTGGGACTTTTGCCAAAACATCGGTCTGAAATTTCGGCTCAGAAAGTTGCGTGCGCATTTCTGTTGATGGGTTATCACATTGAATGAAGTTTCATCAAAATCAAATAAAAATAAATAAAATTTTTTTATTCCGTTCCAAATGCGGCTCTGTGGCATTTTTCTCCATTGAATATTTTTCTCAAATTTTTCTTTTTACACGAGCAGCTGACTTCCTCTTATTGAAGAAAAAAATTTTGTTCATTATTATATGTTTTTTCGAAAACGTAACTTGAAATGGTTTGGTCATGTTCATTTTTCGTCTTAAAATTGATTAAAATTGTTCGAAATCAATTGAAAAGTCGATTAGATGCAGTTTTAAATTTGAGATATTTGAGCTCATTTGCGGATCCCAGATATTGATTTTCCTCATAACTTAGAGCAGATTTCATTTTTCGAAACTTTTCATGAAAATTTTGTAAAATGCTTGAGAATCGCCTGGAAAAAACTGTAAAAAAGGTGTTTTTGAAATGGATTTCGAGATTTTTTATAGTTCTTTGCTCACAAAACCCCGTTGAAGTTCTTGAAAATTCTCAAAACTTGGGATATTTTCTTTTTTTAAAAGGTCTTATGGAAAGTTCGTGAAGTGAGAACTACTCTGTAAATTTTTCTGAAAGACTCCTTGTAAATTAATATTAAACTTCATTAAAACCGCTAACTCCGTCAAATTTTTCTGCGAAGTTTTCAAAGTTGCGCCCTACTGATGATAGGGCTGATTCTTTGTCAAACATCTTGATATTTTTACAAAAAAATTGATACTTTATTTACAACTAGATTTTTAAAATTCCCAAGGTTATCATTGTGGAGAATTTTTTTATGAAAGTCCTGTCAGAAAAATTTTTCGGAATTAATTTCAGAAAAAAATCTCTGTAAACTCTCTCAAAGGCTCTGTAAAGTCTTATATCAACTTTCCTCAAAATCGCAAGTTCCGTAAACGGTGCTATAGTCAATATCTCCCGACTTGAAAGGCGAAGGAGGCGGGGCAGGGGGCGGGACGCGTAGCGTGTGCGTTCGCGGTCCTTCGCACGTGTTCAATTCAACCGCCATCGACTCTTCGAAAAGCCCGTTTTTTGCTTTTTTCATTCCTGTTTTCAATTTTTTATTGATTATGTTCATGTGTGCATCAAAAAATAGTAGAAAACATTGAAAGAGAACGGTTGCCGAGCTTTTTAAATAGTCCGCGGCAATTGAATTGATTTCGCGCCAAGAACCGCGTACGCACACGCTACGCGTCCCGCCCCTTGCCCCGCCTCCTTCGCCTTTCAAGTCGGGAAACATTGACTATACGACAAGATCGAGTTCTCCATTTGCGAGGAATACTGTATGCGGAAATGCGCATTGAGTGCCTACACTTTGTGTGTTTAAACTTTCGTTGGGTGACGTCACCGGATCGGACATCTCCGGGTTTTTTGTTTCCGAATTTTTTTTTTTCGAGTACTTCTCAATTTTTTTTCTTTCTAGTGTTTTTCATCGTGCAAATATCATCGAGAGAAATGCATACCTTGAAAAAAGCAAAAAAAAAAGTTGAAAAACATTCGAAAAAAAAAAACTCGGAAACAAAAAAACCCGGAGATGTCCGACCCGGTGACGTCACGCAACGAAAGTTTAAAACACGCAAAGTGTATGCACTCAATACGCATTTCCGCATACAGTACCCCTCGCAAATGGAAAACTCGATCTTGTCGTAGCACCCCGTAAACATTTTTTTCTAGAAGATATTTTTAGGAGTTGCACTCTACTCATTATACGGCTTATGTGTTAAAAACTATTTGGAAAATTCATCACTTTAAGATTGAAATTTCCTGCAGATCATATCTATAAGCTACCTTCATATAGAAATTCGTAATTTTTTTAGAAGTTTTTCCAGAAGATTCCAAGCTCCCGAAAGTGTTCAATTATCCCCGTTTTTCTCCCTTTTTGATATTTTTCCAATGATATTTTATTTTCATGATAAAGAGAACAAATAAAGGGTCCAAAAGACGATAAAATGTTTTTCTAGATTTTCCATGAATTAATTTGATCTCCAGCTTCCCGCCAAGAAGCCGCGTCGCACACGCAACGCGTCACTTTTGCGAATCTACCCATCTAGCCTTTCAAACCGGCAAAAATCGACTATCAACCATTATAGAGAACCCTCATGAAAGCCTCGCCTAACTAGATATTTAGGGTTCGGGAAAATCCATAAATTATCTCCTTGCCAGGGTCCCGACTCAAAAACGAACAAGCGCAATCCATCGAGTTGGAGAGAATGAAGCGGCCGTCGGGACTCAGAACCAGGTCCGTTATCGTGTCGTTGTGGCCCCGCAGAACGTACTCGATCTGGTCTTTCCGCAGGTCCCAGGCCTACAAATTTTCGATTTAGTGTGTTCCGCTTGGGACGGTAATGTTTTATGAGCACAGCAGAAAACCGAAAAAACAGCTTTTTGCGCCATTTTCTTTGTAAAACTTCACGAAAATCAATAAATAAAAAAGATCTTAGTTTGACCCAAAAAATGGGGCAAAGTCCCATCAATTCATACCAACAGGGACTTGTCCGGTTTGCACTACGCCGTCTCTGCTGGCCATACTAGACCATTTTCGGTCATTTATTCAATTTTTAAAATGAACAAGGCTATTTCCGACATTAATAGATGAAAAAATACAGAAAATAAACGAATATTTACTCCCTAAAGACGGATTTCACAAATTGAGTCGTTTTTAAAGACCTGCTGGGGTTTGCAAAAACTTGATTGTTAAAATTAAATTTGTCAATGTATTTTTCTTCAAAATTTGGTTACTTTTTACAAAAAATTATTTTTAATGAAGATATTGCTCAAAAACCGCGATCGGTGTATGCACAATTTGAACCTACAGTGTGCCAAACCAGCTGAACACTCTAACAAAAGCTGCGGCGCACCCCGCGTCGAACTCTCGGTGCACCCCGCTTACCAGGGAATGGTCTCAGCTCACAGTGGGACTTCTGAATGAGACCACTTTCCCTAGATGTAGTTTTTCATGCTGATTCCAAATCCGTTTTCAAAAGCTGCCACCGAGCTCTGTGAAAAAAGTTATGGACCCTCAAAAGTCGAAAATTTCATAGTCTCCGATTGAGTTAATTTTTGGAGGGTATATAGGTCTTGTCCCTCTGGTCACGAAAAACCATTTTACTTTTCTCAAAAAAATTGTGAAGCCAAGATATGAGCTTTCAAAGCCCCGCCGCACACAAGAGAATGCGCGCGCGGTGTCCTATTGCGATCCGACGGCTGTCGAAGCAACAGCAGCGAGGAGCAGTGGAAAGGCGGCGGACTGGGGAGCACGAGGTCATAGGTTCGGTCCCCACGCTTTGCAAACTTTTTTTGCAGTTTCTCTTTTTTGGATATTTCCCTGTTAGTGCTCCTTTTTCGAGTTTTGAGGTGTAGAAGCATGAAAATACTACGTTTTGAACCTATTCGAACAGCTGGACTTCTTTTTGTCGCAAATTTTTTTCATGGATTTTTTCGTGATTTTTTTTGTATATGAGCATAGTGTCGAAATTTTCAGAAATATTTTTTTCGGTTTTTTATTTTATCTTTTTTTTTCTAAAAATTGTCTAACCCCAAGTCATCATAGCTATGCTTTATCGAACACAGAAAAAAATTTTTTTCTTCAATAAACTCTTCGTACTTTGCAGTGGGCTCACCTATGACCGTCGCCTTTTGCCGTCTGACTATGAACTTTCAGAAATTACATTGAACGAACAATTTTTGTGGGGAGTTTGTTCCAACTGTTTTTATTTATGAATCAAAAAAATCTTCTCGGAAATTTCAGCCTCAACCTGAAATAAAATCGAAAGTTTTTTCTTCTCCTAGAGTGGTAAATGAAAACCGCAGTATGAGAAAGTCAGTGAAAAAAAGTTTATGCGTTTTTTTACCAGCGCAGTTATGATGAATTGGGTCTAGACAGCTTTTGAGTAAAAAACCAAAAAAATTTTTTTCTGAAAATTTCGACACTCCAAGCTATGGAAAATCACGAAAAAAATACATGAAAAAAATTTGCGACAAAAAGAAGTCCAGCTGTTCGAATAGGTTCAAAAAGCAGTATTTTCATGCTTCTACACCTCAAAACTCGAAAAAGGAGCACTAACAGGGAAATATCCAAAAAAGAGAAACTGCAAAAAAAGTTTGCAAAGCGTGGGGACCGAACCTATGACCTCGTGCTCCCCAGTCCGCCGCCTTTCCACTGCTCCTCGCTGCTGTTGCTTCGACAGCCGTCGGATCGCAATAGGACACCGCGCGCGCATTCTCTTGTGTGCGGCGGGGCTTTGAAAGCTCATATCTTGGCTTCACAATTTTTTTGAGAAAAGTAAAATGGTTTTTCGTGACCAGAGGGACAAGACCTATATACCCTCCAAAAACTAACTCAATCGGAGACTATGAAATTTTCGACTTTTGAGGGTCCATAACTTTTTTCACAGAGCTCGGTGGCAGCTTTTGAAAACGGATTTGGAATCAGCGTGAAAAACTACATCTAGTAAACTTGGTCTCATTCAGAAGTCCCACTGTGAGCTGAGACCATTCCCTGGTTAGATTCAAATGCCTATTAAGGTACTCATTCCGTACACGATTTCGAAGTAGTTTGTTTTCCAATATCATCATTTTCTACGGTTTCATCCCAGGTCGTTGCGGTAGCACAAAAACAACTTTATTTCCGACCGGTTGCCCCAGGGGTTCACCCCACTCAGGTCCAACGAGGGGTGAAGCGCAAACATCAACCAAAAGTTCACTTTTTTCGGGGTTCACTGCGGGGTAAACCCTTATTTTTGTTAGAGCAAAAACCGCGATCGGTGTATGCACAACTTGAGCCTACAGTGTGCCAAACCATCTGTTCCCAAACTCTCCCTACATCTATTTCGTGAAATTTAGTACTTGTGTGTGAGAAATAAAACATTTTGATTTGATTCGAACACTCTAACGAAAGTTGCGGCGCACCCCGTGTCGAACTCTCGGTGCACCCCGGAGTGTAACCAGGGGTATACCCCGTTAAGTTTCAAATGCCTAGTAAGGTACTTATTCCGTACATGACTTCAAAAAAATTTGAAGCAATCATTTTCTACAGTATCATCCTAGACTGCTACCGTAGCTCCGACCGGTTGCCCCAGGGGTGCAGGCCGTCGAGGTCCAACGCGAGGGTGCACCAAAAAGTTTACTTTTTTCGGAGTTCACTGCTGGTTCTACCCTCATTTCTGTTAGAGCCGGTGAGAATAGCATAGAAAAAATACTGGCTTCCATGAAATAAAACGTCAAAAAGCCGTGAAACGAATTCATTTCAACCGACCAAAACGCTTTCAGACAATCGACGTCATTTTTTGCAATGAATCCTCTATCACCTACGTTTCAAACTATAGATAAGAAGACAGACTTGCTTTGTTACATGTTGCATCCGTGCATTTGATATATTCCTCTAAATTCAATTGAAATCTTCTGAAAAACCATGAAGCATCTAAAAGTCCTTGCAATTTTTGCATTTTTAGCCCTATAGGTAGCTCTATTGAAGTATTTTATTTTTTGGAAGCTCTCAAAGGCTGAGAAATTCATTTGGAGCAGGAAGATATACAAAAAAACGAAACTTCAGAAGTTCATGTTTATTTTTGGAAAGCAATTTGGTCTTCATTATCACTACAGTAAACCCACCTTTTACTACTTTTCCTACAGTAAACCCTACTTTTACTACTTTGACTACAGTGCATCCAACTTTTACTACAGTAAGCCCAACTTTATACTACAGTAAATCCAACTTTTTACTACAGTAAACCAAAAATTGACTACTTTTACTACAGTAAACCCAAATTTCACTTCTTTCAATGCAGACCCAACTTTTACTACAGTAAGCCCAACTTTTACCACAGTAACCCCTACTTTTACTACTTTTACTACAGTAAATCCAAATTTTACTACAGTCAACCAAGATTTTACTACAGTAAAGCATGATAGTTGATGAAGCTTTGGTGACCCCTAACCTTGGAAAAAAAAACGGAAAAGTCTCCCGCCTTTTGACCTGAATTCAAGTCATACCGGTTCAAAGTGTATTTTCAATAGAAAATGAGGATTTTTGAAGCCTTTACGGCAAAAAAATCGATAAAACGCGAGCAAAGGTCCTATAAATCCTAATAAAAAAATAAAACAGGGATTTTTTTCGAAAGAATGAGTAAAAAGGGGAGAAAATGAAGTAAATATTCAAACTTTCAACGGCCTTTCGAAAAATTTAGCCCAAAAAAAGGAGGCTTAAGACAAATTTCTATGGAATTTAAACAAGATTGGCGAAATATTAGGGAAAATAAGACCCTTAAAAAAAAACTTTTTTTTCTTTTTTTCCAGAAATCACCTTGATAGTATTATCGATCCCGCCGACGAAGATTTGGTCAGAAGTGTCATTAAAAGTGACCGCCGTCTGTGGAAACTTATTCTCGTATTTCTTCACTGGGAACTTCTGTCGGATGTCGTGAACCTGCAAAAAAAATACTTGAAAAAAATGAAGTCAATTTTTTTCAAATTTTCAGTCCAAAAACGCTACATGTGAACAAAAAAAGCCTAATTAATCAGAAATCTATTTAAATAAAAAAACTTGGAAACCAGAAAAAAATGAGGATATTTTTAAGATTTCAACAGGTTAAAAAAATAGTCTTATTTTTCATTATTTTTTTGATGAAATTTTTGAAACAATTTTTTTCAATATTTTAAATTCAATATCTTCACAAAAAAATCACACTTTAGGAATCTATATAGCTTCCTACAAAAAAACTCTTTGAAAACAAGATAAAAAAATTCTGTAAAAATTAAATGAAAAACTGAAGCTTAACTATAAATTGTGATTTTTAAAGAAATTTCCGAAATCAATTATAATTTATAAGATATAAGATATATAGAAAATATAGTAAGTTTGATGTAAAATTTGTTCATAAAAATACTCTAAATCGAGAATAAATAATGCCGCTCTCAAAGCGTTCAAAATAGCCATCCGAGAAAGAAAGAGATAACTGAAATTTTGGAGGGTCCATTTGAGGGGGGTCCCTATAGGGATCACTTAAGTGACCCCTATAGGGATCACTTAAGCTTCAGGGGCTAAGGGGTCGGACCCTAAACCTCTATAGGGACCACTTTGATTTTATCCCTATAGGAACCACAATGATTTCATTCCCATAGGGACCACTTTTTTGGTCCCTATAGGGATCACTTGAGCTTCAGGAGCTAAGGGGTCAGGCCCTAAACCCCAATAGGGACCAGCTTGATTTTATCCCTATAGGGACCTCCGCTTTGAAAAAAAAGACGTTACGATGAAAACTTCAATGAAAGAGAGAACAGGACAAGCAAAAGAAGTGGATACAATTCTGTAAGTATTCAGATTTTTGTCCAACCAACCAAGGCGAGCTTATCATCGCCGGCCGAAACGAAAAGCTGAGGTCCGCGACGGCAAGGATGCACCGAGTTGACAATGTCTTTGTGGGCTTTCGCGTTCCGGACACAGGCGCCCGTCTCCATGTCCCAGACACGGACCCCGTGTTCTGTCCCCGCCGAGAAGATCAGTCTGAACGATCATAAATCTTCTTTTTCGAAACATTTTAGCAGTATTTTGTTGATGTCTCTTTTAATAAACTGTAAAAATTATTTTTCGACAAGAAACAGTCTCTGGGAGTTCAAGGACATTAAAATCTTGCGTTTGGACCAGTAATTTGTAAATTTCTAGCTTCAAAACACTAAAAAATTCGTTTTTTTTTTTCGATTTCTTTACGAGAAACGAAGCTTCTGTCGCGAAAAATCTTGAGAAATTCGAATTTTTTCAAGAAAATTTTGTGGTATTTTTGAAACTACAGATCTGTGAAATAATTCGACAAAAAAATATTGTCGATATTGGTTTTTTTATGACTCGGAAATAACTTTCTGAATTTTTTTGCATGTAACTGCCCCGTAAAAAAACTGAAAAACAGTCTTTGAATATTTTTTTAAGCTCTCCATTTTTTTATCCCTAGCTATAAAATGCGTATGAAATGTTTCACCAAAAATTTGAAAATTAAGCCTAAAAGTCACAAAATTTACAAAAATGTAAAAAATGCAGATTTTTCATTCATTTTTGCGGTTTTTCCACTCATTTTCTAATCTAATTTTTTTCTACCTTACGTAATTTTTCTAGAACTTACAAGATAGTTATAAAGCGAACCACTTCAAAAAAAAAATTCCGAAAAAAAACAATAAATTTATCAAAATTATCAAAATTATCAAAATGCCTAAAAATTCGTGTTCAAACCCTACAAAAACTTTTTTTCCGTCTGAAAAGCATTTTAAATAGAAAACCACAGCATTTGAATAAATTAAGACACCTCGAATCCGTGTTGAACTTCAAATCCATAACTGAGCCGGTATGGCCTTTCAAAACGGCGAAATTTTCGCAATCCCCGTAGACATTCCACAGAAAAATCTGAAATTTACAATTTTTCTCCCAAAAAATTCAGTTTCCCACCTGATTATCATAACCAGCAGTGGCAAAGCAACTCCCATCAGGACTGAATTGAGCCGTGAAAATTTCGCCTCCATGACCGTTACACAACATGATTGGCGCCTTGAAACCAATATACACTCACAAAAAATCAAAATAGAATAACTTGTAAATTAGAAAGGCGAGGCAGCTGTTTAGCATGATCGATTTGTCGATCTAAACTAATGTTTAAAAAAATACCTTCTTTAATGAACTCACTATAAGCATCAAACGAAGTGTAACGTTGAACCTGCATGTCTTCTTCTCCTCCTTTAAAATCGAATAATCGGTAAAGTCTGTCCAAAAGTCTTTGGTAAAACGTTGTTAAAAGCACGAAAAAAATTCAAAAATTGTGGCGTTTAAGGTAGTATTCCGAGTCTTGCAAGGCTTTGACGACTTAAAACACAGTAAAACCCTTTGAGTACATTGAATTGAATAATAGTTTGAAAAATGAAACAAAAAGAAACGAAAAAAAATTCGAAAATATTTTTCAAAACGAAGGATTAGTCGTGAAATAAAAATGTTTCCCACTGTTAGGTGAATGCGGCATTTTGAACACAGTACGTTTCGAATCAAAAATTTTTCAGCAACAGATTTTGTTTTTTTATCTTAATTTTGATTGCGGACTTCTTTCTTTTAATTATTTTCGAAGACTGTTTCAGAGTTTTCCACGCTTTTTCAAGTGTGAGACGTCGGTTCAGAACCGCGAATTAACCCACAGTTTCACGCCTCGTCTCGAACTTAAACAAGGTCAGTCTTTCCTTCTTCTCATTTTTTAAATGATGCAAATAAGGAAATCCTGATGAAACGCTCGTTAGAAGCGGATATTTTTCACTTCAAATAATCATTAAGAAGTTTAACTCTCAATTTTCATATGTTTAATGTTAAATGGAATAATTCAAAGCTTTCGAGATCTTTAACCTCAAGAAACCTGAAAAATGGGAAAAAAGTCTTTCCTTGACTCCATTAAGCTTATAAGTCTGGTGAAAAAATTGTTTCGATCTTTACCCTTGATTCTCTAGCGTCCAGGCCGCAAACAGTCCTTCTTCTTATTTGTGTTTGTCATTTAGCCGAGAGAACCGATTGTTTTCGATCAAAAATTGTGGTAAAGAAGCGGCGAGAAGAAAAACCCGTTCCGTCGCTTATTTTCCAACTTTTCTTCTCGAGAGAAGCCGTTTTTTGACTTGCCAGCCTCGTTTAATGGTTTGATTTGTGACTTTGCCGTTTCCTGCAAACGATATTTCATGGGTATTTAGTTACTCTTCGTTCATAGTTGAATGAAGATTCGGAAAGTAAAACACCCAGGATAAATTTATTTTATTTTTGCGACCATAAGCTTATTATAACCGTTCTAGTATCTTTGACCGAGAAAAATTTGTTTAGAAAATCTGACACCCTGCTTTTCATGTCCCTCGTCTTGAGTAATTTTTCGAAATTTTCTTCGTCTCGAAATTAAAAATATCCGTCTAGTGCATCTCTGAATTATACCACGACGAAAAAAAAAAGAAAAAAACATGGAAAAAAGCCAAAATAGTTGATCCAAATCAAACAATTGAAAAAAAGGCAAAAAAAAAGTTGCGATATCGAAGTTTCCGCAATCAGTGTGCATATACGACGATTTACACCGCACGCGATATTGCAGACTTCAGTATTTTTACCAATGCAAATTCGCTAACCTTCTTTTCATCCCATCAATTTTCGATTCTTATTTCCGGTAAGCTGGCCCAAAACGAAACGGCCTCTCAAAGTTCAAGTATAGACCAACATTTGGACAAGCCAAAGAGTGTTTGCTTTGGCCAAAAAAATCAGAGAAGGGAAGAAAAAACAACGGCGGCCCACCTAACCAAACCGTTTCTCGAGGCTCTTCAGATTGATTTTCTTTTTTTTTCTTTTTTTGAATAATCTTTGTTGTTAGAACTTTGATTCTTGAAAATTTGGGTTTTAATTTATTTATTTTTTTCTATTCTGCTCGGAACGTCAATGAACTTGAAGTTTTGGAAAATTTGATTTTTAATTTTTTTTTCTTTTTTTCTTTTTTTTTTAAGCCAAACTTCCGATCCTTGACTTATAATGAAATAGTTTTGAGGAGTTTTTTTAGCCGATTCTGTGTATATTTTTTTCGGTTAAAGGGATAGTTTTTCCTGGTTTATCTAGCCTAATATTTTTAATTAAATTCATCTTTTTTTCAGAAAACTTTTGATCAGTTACATTTTTTTCGTTTTTAATTATCCTTCTATTTCCATTGAAATGTTGCTTTTGAACCATTTTCGAGAAGGAAAAAAACTGTGAATCCTCGAAATCAGCCAAATTTCACATATTTTTAATATTTCTTCAAAAAAATCTTTTCTCCAGTTTTTGAAAGCTTTATTATTCTATGACCAAAATTGAAACAAAAAATGGATCTTAGCCTTGAAAGTTTTCTAAAATCAATCTTTGGTGCCTTCTGAAGACTTCCTAAGATTTTCTTCAAAAACTCTACTTTCTGCTTTTTTTTTAATTTCTCATTTCCGTGTACCAACCCATTATCCTCATTTCCCGAAATTTCCCGAAAACCAGGTTAAACCCAAAATTTCCCTTTCCCCCAACTTGTTCGAGCAAATAATAATATCATAATTCTCTAGCCAAACAGTTCAGTTGAGTTTACTCGCCTTTGTGTCATAAACTAAACAAGCCCTTGACTTTCCATATAATATAGTTCCGGGTCCTTTCTCACGCATGTCGAAAAATGGTCATTTTGAGTCGAAAATGTCATATTTGTTTCTGTTTTCCGGAAAAATCACGTCATAATCGACCCCAACCAGTTCGATTTCCCATTCTCGATTCGCATGAGTTGCTCGGAATTGTTCCCAGATTCACTTTTTTTTTTCATTTTTGATCCCATCTTCCTGTTTCAACTTTTTAGAGGGTTTAAAGTTTCTGTTAGATTTTAAAATGTTCCTATTTTCATGTCTAAGCACTTGTTCCTTGTAATTTAAATACTTTTTCATCAATTCCAGACCTTTTTTTTGAGGTTAGAATAAAGTAAATTCACCGTTTTCTTGAGAAAAAATTTTTCAAGTTCGGTTTTTTTTTCTAATTTTACACTGATTTTTTGAATACTTCCATCATTTTCTGCTTTTTTTCACAGTTTTTGATCATTTTCCCTTATAATTTTTGTGATTTGAAGGAGTTTTTCGAAAAAAATTTGATCAAAAACAGCCTCAGAATTTAAAGGCGCATAGACTTGTTTTTCAGCCTTTCATCCATTTTTTAGCCTTTCATCCCTCCGGGGTAGATAAATTTGGGAGCTGCATGCAGCGAAAAGGCTCAATCTCTGCCATCGGCCTTTGGAAAGCCGGCACTGTACTTCTTCCTACGACCTCTCTTGTACCTGATGTTCTACGAGCGAAATTCACAACCTCTCTGCCTAAGCCACAGCTCCTGCCGCCGTTTAAACACAGTTGAAATCAATGAAAGTCGATTGCACATGTACTCTTACATTGAAGATGCAATAAACAGTAAACAATAGACTTGTTCTCGAACAAGGTCTTGACGCGAAAATTGTCCTTTTCTTTGACTCGAGTCAGTTTTTCATCAACTAAACGCTTTTTATGTCATGTGAATGAACATTTACCCGAAAAAAACACGGAAAAAATTTGAAAACTACCTTTTCTTTCTTGAACCCTATAAATAACCCAAGAAAATGGTTGGAATTTGACGAATTCCCTGTTTTTGTGCCCCAAAGAACTGTTGTCAATTGTCTTCAACAGCTGAAAACACCACAAAAGGACATTTTCGACCTTGGAGGACACTTGAAACCCTTGGAAAAATAGAAAATTGGCGCCGAAAATCAGCTGGTCACCTTTTTTCTTTCGTTTTTTCTCGGGTTTTTGTAGAACTCGGGACTCATCCACATCTTTTCGTATGATGTTTGCTAGAGAGTTGGAACCTTTTTTTCTACTTGAAAACTATCAATTTGAATATCTTATTCATATTACCTTCTCCAAATCCTTTAATTTTCAACGCTTTTCCAAAACTTACCCCGAAAGTGACGACACCATGAATCCCTCAAATTTCAAGCAAATTTCGCTCAAGACGAACAGGAAAGATACGAAGAAGTGCTCATTTTTGAGTCGAGTGTTGTTCGGAAACAAGCGTCCACCACATGTTGTTTGCTTTTGCAGCCGCGTCATGGTCTCTCGGCTTTCGCCGTTCCTCGATTTTTCAGTACTTTTATCAGTTAGGTTCTCTATGAAAAATGCCAAGAACAAAAAAAGAACCAAAAAAAAACAGAAAAATATTGAAGATTGAGAGAAGCGCCATCGATTGTGTACTGGCGCAAAATTGGTGCGCTAATTTTTGCGCCTTGGAGAAAATTTTTTTTGAATTATATTTATAATTTTTTTCCTTTTTTTAAAAATTTTCGTGTTTTATCATTGCTCGGTTCAACGCTTGCAACTGAAAATTAAATTCTAAGCTTTTATAGCCTTAAAAAAGGTGAGTAGAGTGTTCAAAAACACAAAAATAGGTAGGGGCCCAAATTTTAAATTTGATGAACACTCTGCGCTCTGAAACTATTGTGAGTTTTTTCTATGCTCTTCGTACACTCCAGAAAATTATTCTTATCGAGTATAGTCTGTTTGAAATCCTTGTGGTTGCTTCTAAAGGTTTAAGAGTTTTTTTGTAAAAAAAAAATATCTAAATTGGGCTGCTATCTCGTCCCAGGAAAGCATTTTGAATAGAAAAAAAGTTTATAAACTGAGTACTGATTTTTTTTTTTATATTCTCTGGAACGAAACTTCAATCCATTGCGGTGACGAAGTAGTTCCAGAACCTTCTGATCGAGTTCTGTCAAGTATGTTTACCTGCCGATGTGATTATCAAAAAACGGTTTTTCGTCGCCCCACCAAACCAGTTTTCTCTTGCCTTTTTTTTCGTTTCGTGACTCAGCCGACAGTTTTTCCGCAATAAATAGTCTTTTTCAGTTTGGAGGCCACGTATCTTTGTATGGAAATCGCGTGAGAAGATTTTGGTTGGAAACACCCAACGCGAGGAATTCTTCTCTTCTTTTTGGAATTTTTCTTTTCGTTGGGAACTTGTATAAATTTCAGATTTTTTATTTGCAACCTAGTTAAAAATTTTTTTCTTTGTAATAGTTTTTCTGGAGTTTTTTTGAAGGCGCATGGAGGAACCTGGCTGGAAATTTTAGTTCAGAATAATTTTTTCTGTACTTTTGAATACTTCAGCTTCTAGCTGGTTCATTTTAGAATTATTTAT